CCTCAGAGAGGGTACCCCCCCTCTCCCTCGGAAAGACAAGCTGGTCAGGCCCTGACCTGGGCGGGACCAGCTCCGGTCCCAGCTCGGCCTCCGCCCCCGGGAGAGGCTGTCCCCCACCCAGGCCCGTTTCCTCGTCCTTACACTGGGCAGGGCTTCAACCCCAGGCCCTCTCAGGGCCAGTCTGAGCGCCACCGACACAGGCAGCGGAGCCCCAAACGGCCAGCCCGTGGGAACGGGTCCTAGGCCCGAGGACGGGGGGCCGGGGCTGTCCTGGATGGCCCCCTGAGAGCCGGGCAGAACACCGGTTTCCTCCCAACCACCTGAAGGGTCATTTTAGGAAGCACAAAATGCAATGAGATGCCGAGCATGAGCTCGAGCAGGAAGAAAAGGTGCAGAAAAACGGCTCTGGTCCCGACTTAGAAAGTGCAGGACACACGCCGCCCCCGGCCGCCCCTGCTGCTCGCACGTCCCGTTGGCGGGAGGAGCAGCCCCTGGAAGCCAGCTGCCAGGTCAGTGGCCGTGGAGCCGGCGTGACGAGGACACCGCTTCTGTGGGGAAGCCCCGGGACAAACGTGGCGCTATGTCTCCGAGAAATACAGTCACCGCTTGACTGAACAGCGAACGGCCTGCGTTTGCCACGACGACTCACGAGTTCAGTTAGAGACGCTACCCCAGTTCCAAGGGGAGGGGATAGCCAGATGCCAGCAGGTGTGCCCGGGAAGGGACCCAACACCCACCACCAGCTTCCCGTCCGGCGCCCACCGGGACCTACCCGCTCCGTTCGCGACCTGGGCCTGGCTTTTCGGAGGCTGCTGAGCCGTCTGCTCTTCGGTTCTTGAGGAGGAGAGAAGGCTCGTGTCAGCGCAAACCGCGGTGCGAGCCTGGGCTGGGCAGCTCCAGGGCTCATGGGGCCGTCCTGCAGGGGACGGTGTCCGCTCCCGCCGGCCGGCTCCTCGGTGCCGGCTACGACAGCATCGGGCAGCACAGAGCTGCACCGTAACGGGCACACTGTGTTTTTCAACGGACGAATAATTCCGTGCTTCACAGACACACGGCTCTTTTCCTTCCTATCAATTTCCACACGTTTGTTTACGGTTAAGCTCAGAATAGATCTGCGCTGCTAATGAAAAGACCACACAGGTGATGACCGGGCACCGTGCAAGGCCACAGGCCAGGCGGCTCCCTGCCCCGGCCGCTGTGCCCAAGTCCCTCAGAGCCCCCTCCCGGAGCTGCCTGGTCCTACAGCCCCGACCTCCAGCCTCAGACCCTGACAGAGCTGGCCCCGGTGCTCTGGCCAGCCCACACCCTCCTCCGTGCTGCAGGCCACCCACCCAGTGGCCTTGCCCTGCACCGGCCTGGGCTACCGACATCCCCAGTGTTCCTGTGATTCCCGGACCCCCCAGTCTGGCAGGAATCCCAGGATGAGGGAGAGGGGGGACCCCAGCAAACCTCGGTGGGGGCTGGGGGGACCCCAGCAAACCTCAGTGGGGGCTGGGGGTACAGAGGGCACCTCCAAGACAGACGGTAGGGCTGGGACACGCTCCGCACACGGGCGCTCAGCATCGGAGGGGAGGGGATGTGGCCTCTGCTGTTCACACAGTATGACTCACTCCAATGTCACCATAGGCCAACTCGGCCTGAGGGGTTGCGACCCAAAACGTAATCTGGAGCAGGAAGCACGGAGGGCAAGCTGGACGGGAGGCGAGGAGGGCGGGAGAGGCTGTGGCCTCACGAAGTGGCAGAGGGAAGGACATGAAGCAGAGGTGGAGTCCAGGGAAGGAGGCTGTGGTCAGGAGGAGGGCCCCGCCTCCAGGCCACCAGGAGGCCCCAACACCTGTGCCCATGGCAGCTGACTAACTGGGGATTACTGGGAACGGGAGGGGAGCCCAGGGCAGGCAGGAAACTCCAGGAGCCGCTGAGACTCAGGCCAGGCCCCTCCATTCCCGGGCAGGCGTTGAGGCCTCTGGACCAGGACGCTCCTCGCCAAGCCTGGGGGTTCCAGAAGAAGCGGCTTCTTCTGGAAAGCACTCACAAACCGGCTCCCAGCAAAGCCTGGGCCCAGGTGTGCCTCGTGAGGACTTGTGGGCCTATGGGACACGGCATCACCCCGGGTGGGCCCGGGGGCTATGTGGCCTGAGGGGGGGCTTCCTAGGGTGCCGTGTTTGTTACCGTTTGCAGTGACAAAATTGCACAGTCACTGGCCATGGGCTTCTGCCAACACAATTACCTGCTAGAAACCAACAGGTATTTCGATATCAATTGGCCGCGAGCTGCCTGCAGGGAAAGAAGGCCGGAACCACGGCCCAGCTACTGCAGGTGGCAGGAAGTGCTGCCTCCTTCACACTGGGCAAACACGGAACCCCAGAACCGCCAAGGTGCGCACTGGACGCAGGACACAGGCTGACGGCACGGTGCTCCGGCCACGGGCAGTTTGAAAATGAAAACAGGGACAGGTGGCACGTGAACCGGCCGCCTCGGCCTGGCAGGCCGTTCTGCCCACGGTCCCGGGAAGGGCGCCCAGGCCCGAGAGCCCCGTCCACACCACGCAGCTTCGGCTAACCAAACGCCGGGCCCCTGCGTCCTTAACACCTGTGGACTGGTCAAGGTGTCTGAGCAGCCACACTGGTGTTCGGTGACGCACCGCCAAGTCTCGAGGGAGATGTGCCCGACTGTGTTGAGCTAACTTTCCCTGGCCCACAGCACCCCAAGGCTGAAGGGCAGACGCCACATCTATCAGGAAATCTACACCAGAGCCGCGTCAGGCCCACGGTGTGGCCGACACCTCTGGGCTGGGGGACCCAGCCGATCACCACACACGGCAGAACTGGCCAAGGGCCGGCCACCCAGGGGCTTTGGGAAAAGGAGGAGAATTAAGGCCCTGGAGTGAGGCTGGGCTGGGAAACAGAGCAGACCCCGTAACGAGAGCTGGTACGTGGATGCCCCCCAGTGCCACCAGAGGAAGCGTGGCCTCCAGAGCGAGCTGGACGTAAATGCAGATATGCACCAGACAGAAGCACGTTCTGTCGGGGTGACAGCACTGTGGCAGCCCACATGCGGCCGAGTGCTGGGGACGGTGCCAGCGCTGGGTGCCCCCACGTCAGTCCCAGGCCGGGGCGCTGGCTGTGCCTCTGCACGAGTCACGTGACTGAGTCTGATGCACGGATTTCACGTAAGAAGGGTCGGCGTCAGGTAACGTGTAGGCTGAGGCCCGTGTACGTTTCCAGCCGGGGAAGGGGTGCTGGCCTCACAGCCAGGTGGCCTGGCATAGCGGGGTGGCCCCACAGGGAGCCCGGAATAACTCCAGAACGGCCGCACCGACCAGCAGGGACCGTGGGCGGCCTTCATCCAAGGCCGCCGTTAAGGACACAGGCGTTTTCCTAAACGCCTGCAGAGCAGGGAACCCAAAAACCTTCCTCCGACGCGAACTGACCGCCACCAGGTCCCCGGAGCCGAGGCCCGACGGACAAACGAGAGCCGAGAAGAGCCGGTGTCTGCCGCACGGCACCAGGCAGCACTGATCGAGGCTCCACCAACCCCCACCCCGCGTCGCCCGGGCGGGGGGGCTCCTCAGTGACCGACGCTCAAAACTGACAATGGCACTCAAAGAGCATGGCTCGGCCACCCCCCGGAGAAGCCGGTTCTAGCTGGGGTGTCCCAGCAGCCGCCGGCACCCCGAGCTGAAGAGGGCCGTCCGCTCAGGCCAGGGAGGACCTGGGCAAGGGTGGCCAGTGTTGGCGCAGGGCCGGAGGGGAGGGAAGCGGGTGGGGGAGGGGACGGTGGCAGCTCCGGCTCCCAGGCCTCGCCTGCGGGCTGACGGCTTCGACAGGTACAGAGGGACGTGTAGGTTTTATGAGGACAGAAAGAGAATAGCTCTTGGAACTTGTCAATATCCCGTCTGGAATGACTCGCTTCTCCTTGGCAGCACCAGGGGGCAGAAGCTGAGCTCATGGGGGCAGAGGTGTGGGCTGCGGGGGGAGCCTGTGCGCTCAGGGGCAGGTCCACTCTGCAGTGGGGCCCCAAGTCGTCCCCTCCAGAGCCTGGGGTGGCACCCTTCACCCCCCGGATAGGGGGACCCGCTGGGAGGAGGGTGACCGTACGTGGCAGGCAAACCCTGAGGTCGCTGCACACAGTGGGTGGCACACGAAGAGGTGCCCAGAGTCCTGTTGGGGGCTCTGGGGCAGGAAAGTATCTGAGTGGGCAGTGGACGGGAGGGGCAGTGACCATGAGGAAGACAAAGGCAGAGTGGGAGGGGACTCAGCGTCCCAGGAAGGTCCTGTGAGGAGCTGGGCCATCTACTCGCCAAGACTAGGGGGACGTGAGGTGGTCCTGGGGGCTCGGCTGACCCCCTCTTCAGTGCCCCCACATGGCTGGCCCCTCCTGGCTGGAGCTCCATGCCCAGGGCCCAGCTTCAAGGCCACCTCCATCACTACCAGGGTGACTCAGGAGTGCCCACGCTCCCCGCTCTCCAGACGAAGGCCCAGGACCCAGGAAGGTGGCCGCTCCCCGAGATGACAGCTCCTACTGGGCACAGGCCGGACCCAACCCAGGAAGTTGGGGCCAGTCACCCTCGGACCCTCGGGATGCTCCAGGTCCAGCGCAGGGGATGGAGGCCTGGGAGGGGCACCCCCACCCAGCAGAGGCTCAGCCTGCGCCCTTCACCCCGTGAGTCAGGAGGGGAGTAGACGTGAGACTCCTGCCGAGACCGGAAGAGTGCGGGGGGCTGAGGGGAGACGGCAGG